GCAGCTTGATAATTGTGATGATGTGAATAATTCCCTGTTGTGTTTTCCTTTCATAAATAACGTGACTTAGTTGTCCCAACTCACTATTGAGTATGTCGTGATTGATTTGATATCCAAGGGTTTTTTTCGGAATAAAACTATTTTTATGCAAAATGTCGGAAACTGTCAATTAAATTGAGTGTTTTTTTTTAGATGAAAGTTGAAGAATGTGACATGGGAGAGTTTTCCCCATCATAAAATAAGGAGATATTTTACCAACTTGTGAGAAATTTGATATGTCCGTTGCTTTTGAGAATGACTGGCGGTTTCTGTGTTGAACACTTCTTTTTAAAATGAGAACGTGACATTACTCCGCTGGTGTTGTCGAACAAGCAAAAAGCGCTTACTCTTTAGGAACATCTGGTCATATTCCTTTTGTATGTTACGAGGAGTCTCATTGTAAATATCTTTTGTCATATTTCCCATTGTTTCATATGCTTCATAATGTAGATTTATATCTTGTCGTTGTATCGGTGTCATTCTGTTGTTATATGGGACTTATGCAGTTATCCAGAGTTATAGAAAATCGACGGAGTTTTGTAGAAATCCTGATTCTTTTTATTTAAAGTTTGTTACGGTATGTCCACTGCTCTATGTTCAGATTATACAACAAGGTTTCGTCTATTACAGTCACTGTCCTTTTCATCAAGGTGTTGCCTAATAATCATATCAAGTGGTTCTTGTTCACAACGATGTCGCCAAATCTGTTCTGTTACTATACAGTTTATTTATTTATTTATTTATTTATTTATTTATTTATTTATTTATTTATCTATCTAATACTAGGTTGATAAGTAGAAGAAAAAAAACACGTGTTGTTGCTGCAGCTAAAACAAAGCGTTGCATACTTTTAGCAAACAGAACTGAATGTGGTTATATAATTGAAATCCTAAATCATACTCGTCTTTCAACTAATTCATGGAATAAATATATTCCTTCTGTGCAAAAATTTCCATATAATCATGCATTGCAGTTTCCCTTGTTATTTTATTAAGCACTAGTACTAATTTTTCTTTTGTTTTCTCTCCGTGTCTTTAAATATATTCACTTTTTGACCGTTGCTGTTTACGTATTCTAATCCGGTTTGTAGGGGGCCGCGTTGCCTCCGTCTGTTAAAGCAATAACATTCATAACCCTAAGTCATTTGGTCAAGGTTACGTGATCCGACACTCCCTGCCTCTGGCAGTTTCTTTTCACAGGAAGCTGAGGATGCGACGAGCATGTGCTGTTATGTCAGTGTCTTTCGTCTCGACACTTTGCCTTTATTGCACTGGGTGATAAATGACGGGCCTCCCGTATGTTGTTAAGAGAGGTAGTTCCCCACCCAGAACAAACAAACCTATTTTCCGTGATACTTACAGCGAAGGATCTGACTCCTTTGCCACTAGGGGTATTCGGAGCTTCCATTATTTATAAATTAAATAATAAACAAAACAATAAAAAAAACATCCCGGAAAAAAAATACTGAAATAATAATAATAAAAAAAAAACAGAATTATTTATTTATTGTTTGTTTGTTTTTTTTTTTTTTTTGTTTTGTTTGTTGAAAAGTATTGATTACATATGGTATATATAATATTGATTTTCGTTCTATTCTGTTGTCTCACTAGTTCCTGTGAAGATATAATTTTTTTTTACAAGCTTTATCATACCAAAGACCTACAAATGAATAATATCCTTCATTACAAAAGCGACATTAGAGACAATAATGAATTTAACGGTAACATATTGCTGTTTCGTTCTTCCTGGGGCTGGAAATGTTCATGCGGGCCTAAATTATGTCTAGGGGACGAAAGCAGAAGACTCTAAATGGTCCTAACTTAGCGTTATTGATAAGATAGGAGTGTGTGTGTGTGTGTGTGTGTGTGTGTGTGTGTGTGTGAGTGAGGGGGGAGGGTGTTGCACTATCCCCAGGGGATGGGGGGGGGGGGGTTGCACTATCCCCAATTTTCAATCAATTTCTCAGTCTGTATGTTGATGTGACAGTCATCATAGGTTGTCGTTGTTAATTGTCACTAACGATATAGACCGTAAAATATTTCCACTAAGGATTGACTACTATCATTAAAGCATTGTGAAAAATATCGCAAGTCATTGTTACAAAGCCTTCATGTAGATCCCAATCAGCGACCATCGGGTGGTCCGATTCTAATGAGGCATGCACATTTTCAAAGACATCGAATTCTCGTTTCGTTTTATTTTTTTTTTCTCAGAATATTTTCTAATTTTTTAAGTTCTATGGCATCTTTTCTGAACAGTTTTATTCATTATGTACTAGTCAGAAGGAATTTTGATCCTATTTTTTTTTTAGATCTTTCTAAGTATATCTAGTTTATCAGTGTTTTCGTCTTTTGTAGAATTTTGCAATTTAACACAGAGTTTTAGAACGTTTCGGTTTTATTTGTTGGGTAGCTATTAGAGAAGATTGATCAAGCGGTTTTGTTAAGAGTATTTGACGACATATTTTCTTCATACGAAATGTAACAAAACATTATTCAACGTATTATTTGTAATCATTTAAACAGAGTAACAGGAGACACGGTGCACAGAGAAAGATTAAAGTGTAAATCAGGTCAACCGCTCCTTAAACGTGACACAGACATACAATTGTTATTTAAAATAGATGTTTATAATGGAAAAAAACAAAGCTGCCTTAAGCTTGCTTTTGCTTGCTTGTCTTCCAACCTTGACTCAAACTTAAAGTCAACTTATCGTCATTACCGATAGATTATTGGTAAATCGTTATATTTTGAAAATAACATCGCGAACTCGGAAAACAGTTCAGTGATCGCCTCTTTATACACACATATTAATGTATATAAAGATTTAAACGTTTAAATTTCGCAAAAATTTCATCTCTAGGAATAAAATTTTGAATATTACATTTTTACCCAGTTGCAGGGGGCCTGACTTATACGAAAATTCATGAAAATTTTCATTTTTGATATTTATTTTCAAAAATTGTGGTTGAAAAATGTTGGTTAACCGCAGGAAATGTTGTACAGCTACATGTACTCGGTCTGTTAAACACAGGGCATGGAACAATACTGGGTCATATGAAGATATAAAGTAATGTATTTGTCTGCACGAGATTGAAATATAACTCTCCACGTGCATTTAGCATGATGAATAAACAATTATATGATACTCTGTTTGTCTTTGTGTTTAAACAAGTCTCTCGGTGCAAGAAATGAAGTGTAAATAACAGTTAAAGGCGGAAGACGATATAAGCCACTTTTTGATTGGTCAATTCTTCAAATCGAGAGCTCTGATTGGTTGCGTATTGTTTAAAATATCCGGTCCAGAAATAACATAATGATTTCATTCATGCTTTGTGTTTGACCGTCTTTAATAACACAGTCATTGTTATAAATGATTATATTTTTTATCAGGTGTAGAGTTATGGTCCTTGGACAATTTTGAGTTGGTATAAATATCAGTTCCTCTGGTTTTGATTATCAATTGTACACATAACGAGATACAAACCGCATGTGGATATGTACATTGTCTAATTGTTTTCTTATTAACAAAAAAGTGAAATGTATTGGACTATGAAAAATGACTATTGTGGAATATACTGTATTTTGATCACTAAAGACTGAACTTACGACTATTTTCAGTATTTTCTGGTCTCGTCAGCAATCTTTATGATATAAAAAGGTAATATTCTAGGGACGTGTTAAACACATGAACAGTTCGTAAGTTAAAAAAAACGTGACTATAACAGCTAATAAGCAGTGTTTGTGATTGACATTTGTGATATGTATACTTCACAGCTGATATTAGTAATAAGTTCAAAGAATTTTTATTAATACAATAGATTTTCTGCGGGATTGCTTTAACTACTGAGTGTTGCTTGGATACCATGAAAGTGAAAAAAACACCTTTTCATAATATTACATAATACCTTATAATTATCCACTTAATCCAGGACCTTGCATTCGGCGTTTGCCCAGAAAGGAAGAATTCTGATTCCTTCCGTGAAAATCAATTGGATTTCAGCCTTAAATACAAACGTTGCTGTTACATCTTCAAGCTATTCGACAGATAAGCCTTGGTTGTCAATATAGAAATGGATAATAAGCCTCGATCTGGATTGATAAATATTTTAAAAATATTTTTTTTTGGTTCTTTTCGTCATGTTGAAGGGTTATAATGTTGTTGACAAATCGTTATTGCTTGTTGTTCTAACGAAAGGTGTCATACGGGAATTAACATAAGTGATTACATTAAGATTGACGAAGAACATTTTTCTTCAAGTATCGTTTTACTGTGTATCAATAAAACATAGTTAAGCACTGTTGATACTGAATGCTTGATATGATTCAAACCATATCGGACTAACCCTTGAGTATACTGTACACAAATAATTTGACTACGACTTCACAAACACTGCAAGGCTACAAATGACAGCAACGTGCTGTTACTGCACAACTTTATAGACTAATAGGACAGTTTACGGTTGCCATAGTGATCTCATAGAGAAATATTCGATTTCATTGTGCTGGAGGTGAATTTGCTTGATACTCGTTAGTTTGCCGGATGGTTCCGTTATTTTTATACTTTGCTTTCATTTGAGAACGTGATATAACTTACTTGGGTTGATTGTTTACTTGGTGGGTACAGAGAAGAAACAGAAGAAGCTTACTCTTCTGTAACACCTGGTCTTATTCTCCATGTACTTTTCCTGAGTCTATTGTAGAACGTTTTTGGTTTGTTTTGGCCCTAGTTTTATTGTTTCTTGGTTTTTGTTTATGATTATGTGTATTTGCTTGTAGTCTTTTTTTCTATCCATGCACAACCTGTTGTTTTTTGGATGAATGCTGTTTACTTTTTTTTTAGATATATAACTTTAATATTCTTCTGTGGTTAGATCAGGAATACAGTGTACAGTTAAAAAAATCCATCATATAAATTTTCTTTTCTATTTTTTCCAATAGATTTGAGCACGTGACGACGGTATGCAGTACAAGGATCGATGGTCGCCCGATAATGGCTATTACAGTGAAACAGAATATCCATTAGGTGAACCCCTTCGTCCCCCTCACCCTGGATATGACATGGGGGGTTGTGCGCATGGCTGGACAGACGATTCCGCAATGTTTCCGGTTCCGGTAACCAATGTTTCTCCTGCCCTCTCCGATATGAACGATGTAATTCAACCAACACATGAGGTGGACAATCGCGGTCCTCCTTCTTACGCAGAGCACATGCAAAGAACTAGAACCAGATCACTAAGTGCACCTCAAATGAACCGTAGTGATGACGTCACATGTAATATGACGTCACACCAAGCTCAATCATCTGGAACTATGCTCAATGATATCATGGACTGTATATCGGAGGATGGGCAGTCCAGCGACGGTATGTAATTATCAGTTTTGTTAACAAACTTTCTTGACCCATCAATGTAAATATTTCTATTTTCGCGTAGATATTCTGTAAGGCCGTGACCATATATACCATGAACATAAAAAATATATGAAAGCTATGGTCTGTTATAGGAACTCCGTGAAAAAATACATTTTTATCGTAAAGAATTTTCTAAAAGATGGAACAAACAAACAAGCAAAAAAGAAAGAAAACATTTACAGTGTTTGGGTAAATAGTATCCCCGATACTCCAGAGGCTACGATCACTTTCGCTCTCTACATTCCTGGATTATGTCATGGCAAATTTGAAGTTTCCATGTGCGACACCTTGTGGAAAAGACTGGTTTCACCCTGATGTACACGAAACGAATCTTCAGGTCGCTTAGCGGTAAATTGTAATGGCTTAGAAGTTGGGTGTCGCTCTTTCGTAATCTTCAAAATGAACGTGTCAGTTTTTTTCTTCTTGGATCCAATCATAATCTTCACTTGCGCCTTTAATTTTGCCATGATATGTTCCAGGGCTCGCGCGAGAGAGAGAGGGGGGAGGAGAGAGAGAGAGAGAGAGAGAGAGAGAGAGAGAGAGAGGTGGGGGAAGGTGGGAGGGAGAGAGAGAGACACAGATAATTGATAATTTTGATTAAATTTTCAATGTAGCTAATAACGAATTATCTATTTAGATAATTGCCGTATAACGATGAAATGGCATCAGTTGTGCTTTGGTTTTATTTTTAGTTTTTTTTTACGTTTCCTAAATTCGTATTGGTTTGAAAACAGCTAGGGTTCGCGCCCTGGGTTCAGCCTCCATACCCTCCATACAAACATGTCCTAACTAACACGCTACATAGTTAATGTACGACGCAATGAAATGCACTGTAAATATGGTTGTATTTATAGCATGCAGTAATGATTAATTTCCACACAGATAAATGTCGATATTTAAATAGATGAAACAAAAAACCGGTCATTATGAAATAACTGTAATAATAACTATAAATTTATTAGACTGAGAAATCTCTCTCACGGCTCAGAGAAATGGTTTTTTTTCTTCTCTTTTTGCTTCTCAAAAGATTGGTATAGCCTGGACCAAATCTCCCACATTATCATCTGATTGGTTCTTAACGATCGATTAATCGATATTGTAAAAAATAAATGAAATGATAGACACTTTCCAATACAAATTTTGAAATATATGCAAAAGAGCCAAATTATGAAGTTAACGATATCTTTTTCGTTCTTCTTGGGCTTGTTAGTGATACTAAGGGCATAATTGGTTGAAACCTAGGAGGTAACTGACGACAATCCAAACTTGTCAAAAACCCACCAGCAGTGTATATGAATAAGAATGTCTCTTATAATATAGTTGTTCTATTTTTAGACCAAGCGAGGATCTCCTACCATGCTGTTTTATTCTCCTATTATTAGCACTATGAAAAATCTCAGTTTAAAGTTGCAAAAATCACTTATCACTTTCATTTCCTGTTAAAATCTTGAACAACAAGAGGTTTGAATCGTGTGTGTGGGTATATATATAGAGAGAGTAACACATCACAACCGATCAAAGCATTACCGATCATTGTGGAGGATTAGAACTTTTACCTCAGATCATGTCTCTAAGTTTTTACATTCGTGAATATTGCAGACTTGGTAAGAATTTTTTTTCGTATCATATTTTAATATTTTACGTGTAAAACGGTATGTTGTTTCTGTTATAATGCTTAAGGGTTTGATTTACGTGGTACAATTAAACGATGATGATGATAGTTGAGGGGTTGAGGAGTGGAGATGGACCCAAAGTTATTTACAGAGATTCCTTCCATTGTTGCGTTAAGGATCACTCTGTCTACTCTACAAGATTTTCCATAATTTTATGAATGAAAAGTATACTGACCACAAAGAACTGATCCAGTTGATAAAATAGGACAATTTCATCCATTAAGAAGTGTTTGTCGCTATTTGGCTGGTACTTTACAAGCTTTTCAGAATAAGATTTTTATGTTGTCATCTCAATCTGTGTGATTGTAAATTTAGCTTGTTTTTCTAAAACAGTATCACAGCCTCCCCACACCAAAGACGGCGATACAAAGCATTAAGACCCTAGTATGTAGCTATATCACTAGTAAGCAAGACCTAAGCCTATATATTCCTGTGACATCATCAATTTTAAGACAAAGCGAGAAACCCTCCGATGTAAAAAAATCTTAATCATTTTTTTTAATTACAGTACCTGTGTTGAACATTTCCAATTATGGGGAATCTCACTTGCGACAGTTGGCATCGCTTCTGGCAGGTAAATGGTTTCATTTATTTATTTATTTATTTATTTATTTATTTATAAGCTTTTTCTTAATCACTTAAAACATATTTATTTACTTTTCAATATATCATAACAACACGTTTAAGATTGATGTTTTATATTTCATAATTTCCTGTGCAACCACGTGTTATATAACCACATCTTGTTGTCTTTATCAACACATTTTACTTCGTCATTTTCTTGCGTCACTGCTTACCATGTCACTATTTTCTGTGTTACTGCTTACCATGTCACTATTTTCTGTATCACCGCTTACAATGGCACCATTTTCTGTGTCGCTGCTTACCATGTCACTATTTTCTGTATTACTGCTTACCATGTCACTATTTTCTGTGTTACTGCTTACTATGTCACTATTTTCTGTATCACTGCTTACAATGGCACCATTTTCTGTGTCGCTGCTTACCATGTAACTATTTTCTGTGTTACTGCTTACCATGTAACTATTTTCTGTGTCACTGCTTACAATGTCACTATTTTCTGTGTCACTGCTTACTTTGTAATCATTTTCCGTGTCACTACTTACCATGTCACTATTTTCTGTATCACCGCTTACAATGGCACCATTTTCTGTGTCGCTGCTTACCATGTCACTATTTTCTGTATTACTGCTTACCATGTCACTATTTTCTGTGTTACTGCTTACTATGTCACTATTTTCTGTATCACTGCTTACCATGTCACTATTTTCTGTGTTACTGCTTACCATGTCACTATTTTCTGTGTTACTGCTTACCATGTCACTATTTTCTGTGTTACTGCTTACTATGTCACTATTTTCTGTATCACTGCTTACAATGGCACCATTTTCTGTGTCGCTGCTTACCATGTAACTATTTTCTGTGTTACTGCTTACCATGTAACTATTTTCTGTGTTACTGCTTACCATGTAACTATTTTCTGTGTCACTGCTTACAATGTCACTATTTTCTGTGTCACTGCTTACTTTGTAATCATTTTCTGTGTCACTACTTACCATGTCACTATTTTCTGTATCACCGCTTACAATGGCACCATTTTCTGTGTCGCTGCTTACCATGTCACTATTTTCTGTATTACTGCTTACCATGTCACTATTTTCTGTGTTACTGCTTACTATGTCACTATTTTCTGTATCACTGCTTACAATGGCACCATTTTCTGTGTCGCTGCTTACCATGTCACTATTTTCTGTGTTACTGCTTACCATGTAACTATTTTCTGTGTTACTGCTTACCATGTCACTATTTTCTGTGTTACTGCTTACTATATCACTATTTTCTGTATCACTGCTTACAATGGCACCATTTTCTGTGTCGCTGCTTACCATGTCACTATTATCTGTGTTACTGCTTACCATGTAACTATTTTCTGTGTTACTGCTTACCATGTCACTATTTTCTGTGTTACTGCTTACTATGTCACTATTTTCTGTATCACTGCTTACAATGGCACCATTTTCTGTGTCGCTGCTTACCATGTCACTATTTTCTGTGTTACTGCTTACCATGTAACTATTTTCTGTGTCACTGCTTACAATGTCACCATTTTCTGTGTCACTACTTACCATGTCACTATTTTCTGTATCACCGCTTACAATGGCACCATTTTCTGTGTCCCCGCTTACTATGGCACTATTTTCTGTTTCACTGCCTACCATGGCACCATTTTCTGTGTCCCCGCTTACTATGTCACTATCTTCTGTGTCACTGCCTACCATGTCACCATTTTCTGTGTCCCCGCTTACTATGTCACTATTTTCTGTGTCACTGATTACTATGTCACCATTTTCTGTGTCGCCGCTTACTCTGTCACCATTTTCTGTATCACTGCTTACCATGTCACTATTTTCTGTGTCACTGCCTACCATGTCACTATTTTCTGTGTCACATCTTACTATGTCACCATTTTCTGTGTCGCCGCTTACTATGTAACTATTTTCTGTGTCACTGCTTACTATGTCACCATTTTCTGTGTCGCCGCTTACTATGTCACCATTTTCTGTGTCCCCGCTTACTATGTCACCATTTTCTGTGTCGCCGCTTACTATGTCACCATTTTCTGTGTCACCGCTTACTATGTCACTATTTTCTGTGTCACCGCTTACTATGTCACTATTTTCTGTGTTACTGCTTACTATGTCACCATTTTCTGCGTCAGCTCGCAGAATGTTATAATTGTCTGTGTCTTCTTTTAATATGTCAAGATTTTTTTATCACTTCCTAAGTTGTGATTTCCTGTTTCACCTGTAATTTTGTCACCATTTTTTTCACAACTTACTGTGTAACCATTTTTATGTGTCACCTCTTATAACGTTACAATTTAATTCGTCACCAATTGTCATACCACAATCTTATGTGTATACACTCATTACGTCATTTTCTGTATCACAATTTATCACATGTGTCATTGCTTATCATGTCACCACTCTTTACGTCACCATTTTTGTGTCACAATTATATGTGTCATTGCTTATGGTATCATATCATGTGTCACCACTCATTACGTCACCATTTTTGTGTCACAATTATATGTGTCATTGCTTATCATGTCACCACTCTTAACGCCACCATTTTTGTGTCACAATTATATGTGTCATTGCTTATGGTATCATATCATGAGTCACCACTCATTACGTCACCATTTTCTGTCACCACTTATTACGTCACTGTTTCTATGTCATTGCTTACGTGATACTATTTCCTGTGTCACCACTCTTTACGTCACCATTTTCTGTCACCACTTATTACGTCACTGTTTCTATGTCATTGCTTACGTGATACTATTTCCTCTGTCACCACTCTTTACGTCACCATTTTCTGTCACCACTTATTACGTCACTGTTTCTATGTCATTGCTTACGTGATACTATTTCCTCTGTCACCACTTATGACGTCACCTTTTTTATTTTTAGACATTAAGTTCATTCTTTTCTTTCATCACTTGGTATATCACTATTTTCCGTGTCATCAATTTGTATAGTACATTTTCTAATGTTATCATTTACTTTTTTTCGGATTCTTTGGTATATAGTTTGTGTCTTTTTCCCGGAGTTATTGTTTATTTATATATAATTGCAGGCGGTGGACAGGTCCAGCTATGGCAGTTTCTATTGGAGCTTTTAACAGACGGTGCAAATGACTGTTGTATCAAATGGGAGGGGCCTAATGGCGAGTTCCGCATGACTGACCCGGAAGAGGTCGCCAAAAGATGGGGAAATCGTAAAAACAAGCCAAATATGAATTATGACAAATTGAGCAGGGCTTTAAGATATTATTATGATAAAATGATACTTACAAAGGTTCAGGGGAAACGATATACATACAAGTTCAATTTTAAAATGATTCTTGAATCTAACAAAGCCGTTTCAGGTTCGATTCCTGCAAAGATTGATTGGAATCCCAGGATTGGAATGGGAAATCGATTTTTGCATCACATGCAGTTTCGCGACTCGGCCTCCTCTCTACTTCCGGTTGAGCGGTATGTGCGATTAGATCGTGATACGCCATTTCCAATATCAGGTCTCGAATCAGGGCATAGTCAGGACCGCATATCCTTATCAGAAACATCCAACTATATTACGTCATCCCCTCGACCTATGTCGCCCACAGTTTCATCACAGTATCTGCTACAAGGACCTCCCGCTTACGTCACTTCACAGTCGCCAACAGAATATCGCCCACCTTGTGATTGTTACCCAGCTTGCCAATCCAGACAGAGTACAATGCCTTATTACTAGTAACTTCCTGTGTCATAATTGATCTCATTACACATCTCAAAAAGAGTGTGAAATACTGCAAACGTTTTTATTTTAGTGCAGTCAAATTTTAGTGCACTCAAAATTTAGCGCAGTCACATTTTAGCGCACTCAAATTATCAGCGCAAACAAAAAAAAAACCCAATTAATTATGGACGTGTTAAATTCGGAAATCTCCGTTTCTAAATTAGACACCAGAACTCTAATTCGGATAGCACAGACACGCATGGATGGTGCAGTGGTTATGTACATGTAATATGATTTGACCATTAACTTGTTTTCATTGACCATTGCTTGTGTGGTGTTGGGTAATAAAAACGGGATACTTTCGAAAAACTTTCGTTTGGTAAACTGTTACAAAAAATGCTGTAATTTGTTCAGTCTTACCGGCTGTTGGGCTATCTTAATATAACAGAGGGGTATAACAGCTTTTACCTGTGTTTGACTGTTCACACCCTTTTATCAATAGAATAGTCTAGTACTGTTTGTGACGACAGACATATCGGGTTTACAGCAGCGCGAAAAATTCGACCGCAGGCAGCGAATGAGATGTTACCGAGGTTAGGTTCGATTTTAAGATATACCGATCTCGAATGTAAGGGAATACTTTCTTGTACATTGTTTTGTCTAAATTACATAAACATATTTGTATTTCAAACTCTTTATTTTGAATAAAGCGTCGGCCTTAACGGTTAAACAAAGATACGTCAAGTGGATATGACGTCATATTTATTGTGACGTTACCTGGCAACAAGTACCGTGTAAGGATACAGACAGATCGGACGGGGTAGTGGACGAGAATTCCTGTCCCAGGTTCAAAGACAGTGCCAGTTTTTAAGATATCAGCACATCAATGTAACAGGTGTCATTATTTATTTCGGTGCCTCCGCGACAATTCGAACCCGGGTCCTCTGCCGCTCATCAGATCGAGCTAAAGAGAGGTTATTTCTACCCGAGCGGTATACTGCGGCTAGTGTTTACCATGGTTACATTAGCTATTGTTTATTACCAGACACTTTACCCTCACAATATGAATAATCCGCATCTTCGACAAATTGTGTGTGGTGGACATCACATCAGTGATATCATGTGATATAATGAGTTTTTTGTCCATTAGTTCTCTTAGTTCCTTATCAGAAATGCATAACAAAGAATCAGTATCGAATTATCGATTTTTTCATTTGTCTTCAACGTTTTTCCAATTTGAAAAAAAAATGTTAACGAAATTAAAGGGCGGTTCAGGAGATGGGGAAATGCGATTATTTTTTTCTCAAATTGGCGTACCATTCATTTAATCTGTTTTCTTGGCCTTCAGCAACAATTCAAACCATTAAAAAAAACAAGTACAGTATGGAGTCCGATGGATTATGAGTGTTAAAACTTTCTACATTTTATAAGTCGTGTGAAAAGTTTTAGTTCTTTAAGAATACACATAGTGTTCTTTTGAATTTATCCTACATTAAAATTTATGAAATATTTTTATTATGAGTGGACCTCCAATCTCGTTTTTGACATATTTTTTTCGAAAAGGTTTGACTTCCTCCTTCAACTCCTTGGTCAAACAACTGAAGCCCTTAGCATCACTGACGAGTTCTCGAGTTAACGAAACGGTAGTTTCTTTTTGATAATTCTTTGACCGCGTTATACCGGATTCTAAATTTGAATTCAGCAGGTTCTATTCAGCGTAGTGTCTTTTTGCAATACAACATTCAAAGACTTCATGTCAAAACATATAATTTTTTTACGTAGTTTAATAAAGATCAATATGTAATGATCTAGCTCCCTTAAACCCTTCCTGACACAAAATCACGTAAAAAGATCTTATTTACTGTAAAATCATATATATTTGTGGGGCTTGATTTTTGTGGTTTTCCGAAATAAAAATACTCTTTCGTGGACGCTTGATTTCATTGTTAAATATACATCAATAAGTCGGCTGATATATGAAATTATATGGAAATATGAATTCATGGGTAAATAGTATGCACGAAAATAATTCCCCACAAAAATTAATAATTTTTTCAATAAATATTAATATATAGATTTCAAAATTAGGAACGGACATTATCCATGGAAAAAAATCGATATATTCGAAAATCATCAAGCTCTTCTGAAGAATTTTGTTGTTTCCGTTGACCTTCTGTGTAACCTGTGTAACATTATCCGCCGAGACTATATACACTGTAAAATCATAAGTTGTCCTGGGCTTAATATAATATGCATATTTTCTCCCTGGCTTCCCCCCACAAAAAGGAATAAAAAAATCTGTACATTTGCTTTTATGCCTTAAGATAGCTCCATAAATCTATTTATACTTATTTCGCCAGTTCAAGAACTTATGAATTCGTGGATTGATAAATACCCTTGAAATCAATGAATACAATTCCCTTAGAAAAGGTAATGGTTTATCATATGTAGATTAAAGTATGACGAGACTCGCTTTTTATTTGTTTATTTCAGTGTGAGAACACTAGAGTTAAAAAGCTACTTTTCGATGTACATACTTTTCAAAACATTACTTATAATAAGAAGCTGAAGACTTCTGTATTCGTTGTACCAATGTTTAGGGATTATGGCCAGTGTTGTTTATTTTCATATATGATATATGTTTTCTACAATATATGTCACAATCACGTAATATTCGAATATTTTTTTAAATAACACGTATTGTCGATTTTGTGAAAATAAAAATGATGATTATTTTTATCAATAGTGTCATTGATAATTATTAATTAATTAATTAATTAATCTTAAATCTTTAAAATTCATTTGACATTCCTAATTTCCCGAAATATTTCACAAAACAGCAATATGTGGAGTACCGACGCTATGTTGTACAGTGTATAAATAGTTTTGATAAGGTAGATATATTGATATATATATATACTTTCATTATATCCGTGTAATTTTTGAAACAGATGTTTTAAGTAAAATGATGTAAAGTGAGTTGTTGTATAATTACATTTTAAAATAGCAATTATTTTTTTAAACTACGCACATATTTTATTTTAAGATAGAACAGGTGATGCAAATATATGTTTATTTTGTGATTATATTGATAAATGCTTGTCTATATTAGCCTTTTGTGTCTCTATAAGAATGACTTCGTGGATTAAGCTTATTTATAACAAAATACTGACAATTGCATCTGGATATATCCGATAAGTTGTGCTGTAAAGAGTGTTGATATATATATAAAAGGCGTTATCTGAAAAACATATATTTTTAATAAAAAGTATAGAGGATTTCTACGATTATAAAATTTATTTTACTTTTTTTTTTATTTAAATTTGTAGTGAAAGATGCTATCACTTCAGTGTCTTTTGATATTTATTGAGGCACTGCGAAACGTGTGATACATCACCATAAATTACTGAGGTGCTGTTCCCGTCTTAAACAATATTTTTGTTTATGCTCTAAGGGAGATTACTCGTGTTAAAGAAACGCCCATAGAATGCCGACAAATGGTAACCAAACATATCGTCAACATTCCAAACATTCCAGACAATTTACATATCAGAATTTATATGTGTGTCATTTCGTTACGTTGTGCTTAACTCTATAGATTAGTAACTTAATTTGTAGTTATGTGTCCTTCTTTTTCACATGTTAATGTTTACTTACGTCGCAAGATACCCCGACACAAAGATTTTTCATCAAAGGCCGCACAAACTATTTTGACACCTCTTCCGGTCAAAATTGATATTCCTCATCCCCTCCTAGGTTTCAACCCTTTAGCAATAATGACGAGTCCTAGAAGGATGAAACAGCTGTATGATGCAGTTTAAATTATTGTTTGGCACTACTGCATCTAACTATAAAGTTGTATTAAAAAGTACTATTCACTTTAGTGTTTTTGTGCAATTTAATATTTTTTTGTGCTCAAGTTTTCTATGCCATGTAATGAATCAATATGGTCATGAAGTCTTTCAGTTGTTTTATAGGAATATGTGACATTCCATAAAGAGTAAGATACTGTCACTATCTTCAGTCAGTTTCACATAAGATCTCTCACTGTTGTGTAATATTTCTGTAATAGTTCATGTGTTTGTTTAGTATCGAATACATTGCTTATAGTGTTAAGTGAACTCAGATAGAAAAGCACACATATTATGTATATAACAAGAACAGGTGTAAATTAATTGTGTATTGTATTCAAATGAGACAGAAATAAAAGATTAAACTATTAAGTTTTGTTGACGTTATACTTATGAGGGTGTTAAAAGTTTATTAAAAATTCACCGAACTAAATGTAAAGTGAATACCACGGGCGTTTAAGTCACTAAATGGTATATTTATGAGCACCCCAATAAAATGTCTTATAGAATATTGATATGTCACAGTTTCGATGTTTCTTCTATTTCATACCAATTTAAATTACGAACCGAAAAATTACTCGAGTCTGCCAGTGAAGGCACTAATAATATTGTAATGAAATAAGATGGCTTTTTTTCATTTTTGACTCTGGTATTGACTTAGAAATAAGAAGAAACATCCGGGTTCTAAAATAACGAGCAAAGAAGAAAAAGAGTGATGAAAGAAGTTTCCAAGTGGATAATACCGTCTATACACGGCATATGTTTTTGTTATCAATTTTCGCACGTAACAATCTGATTACATTTCCAAAAGTTTGAACTGTGAACAAATGAAGTATGTGACGATAAGCAACTAATATACGTTAGAGTGTACTAGCAAATGATAAATATATTGTAAGGCCAGGAGTGCATATAAGTTAAAATGGAAAAATGATTTCACACATGATCTCTCGTTATTAATGATTTCATATCAGATGAATTACGAAATATTCCCCCATTTGATTTTTCTCAGTCGCCTCCTTTTGCTTCAATATTAAGCATCACTGACGAATCCTAGAAGGACGAAGCAGCTATATGTTGTAGCATCACTGACGAATCCTAGAAGGACGAAGCAGCTGTATGATGTAGCGTCACTGACGAGTCCTAGAAGGACGAAGCAGCTATATGTTGTAGCATCACTGACGAATCCTAGAAGGACGAAGCAGCTGTATGATGTAGCGTCACTGACGAGTCCTAGAAGGACGAAGCAGCTATATGTTGTAGCATCACTGACAAATCCTTGGAGGAAGAAACAGCTGTATGATGTAGCATCACTGATGAGTCCTTGATGGACGAAAGACTATATGATGCACTTTAATTCATTGTCTGGTTCTGCTCTAACTTCAAATTATAAAAAGTCGCTATTCACTTATGTGTCTTTTGTACAATCTTCGAAAGTTTTGCAGAACGAATTAGCACACTTGATAGCAGTTGTGAAATATTACAGCTGTTAACAGATAAGTCTGAAATTCTCTGTTTTCAGTTCCTTTATCTAAGTACTGTTTTCATTCTTACTACTGGACAGCCATTGAGCAGTTTACTGATGGGTATGTTAATTCAATGCTCGATTTCGTTACATCAGTTAGCTCGTATTTAAAGATATTTAATAATTCAAGGCCACATGTTGTGGTATGAGGATTATTATATATATATTTTTTTGTAATTCTTTTATTTTTGACAAGGTTTTACATATACAAGAGAAACCACATAAAAACATACACCCACTCTCTCACACTTGTGTGCTCTTACTTAAATATGTCTTACACATATACAAGCATCATCATCATCAGCATCATCATCAGCATCATCATCTATATCATCATCATCTTTATCATCATGTGCATGTATCTACCACTCATCAACATTCACACCCACTTGCACTCACATAGCAAACTTACATGTACTTAACAAAATACTCACACACACACACACACACACACACACACACACACACACACACACACACACACACACACACACAAACACACATACGATATCATATCACTTACACTTATCAAAGATATTTTCTCACACACACATACTCACTCATGAATACATTTATATATTAAAAAAAAACAATTATACATCCTAAACAAGAGAGAGAGAGAGAGAGAGAGAGAGAGAGAGAGAGAGAGAGAGAGAGAGAGAGAGAGAGAGAGAGAGAGAGAGAGAGAATTGGAAGGGTTATATTCATTATTAAATAAAAATAGCATTAATTTTGTGGAAATTCAATAAATTTAAAGTCAGTTTGGTAAAGTCAAGGCCATGGCCATTGGGAACAGACTTGTTAGCATACATACTATAGTTCTTAAATGGGCATCCATTTTTTCCAATTATTCTCAAAATTTGTTTTCATAATAGTTTTTTTGCTGGAAATGTTGTATTTTTGAACATGGAAATGATCCTTAATCTTATTTACAAGAACATTTAAATTAAGAGATTTTTGTAGACATCTTGACATATAAACATAGTGTTTAATGAGAATTAAAATTTAATTATCTACAGTGTTAGCATTAGGATGGATAATTCCAAATAAATATGTTTCTTTGTTTATCCAAAAAGGAATCAGAAAAATATCAAGAAGAGATTCAAATCTCCCCAATAGAGTCTGTACCCCTATACACTCCCATAGACAGTGAACGATAGTTTCTCTTTCCATATTACATAGTGTACATAAAGGGCTAGGTATTAAATTAATATTGAAAAGAAAGGAGTTCGTAACCAGAATGTGATGTATAACCCTTACTTGAAACCACTGTAGCTTAGAACTTTTTATAATAGTAAACGGAATTACTAATATATTTTTCCATTTCTGATCATCGAAGTCAAACTCATCATTCCATTTTAGAATACCGGTAGGGGTTGGAGCTGGTTTAATAATAGCATTGTAGAAGTCTTTGGCACCTTTTTGACTTTTATAAAAAATTTCCCATAGAAGTGATATAAAAGGCTGAAATAGTCCTAATGGATGGAAGTCATGTTTTCTCAAGAAACACTTGACGGCTGTAATCAAGCCATAATAGTGTAAATAGTTGGTATTGATTAAAAATTTATTACGAAACTCATCAAAGGAGAAAAATGTCAAATTATCAGAATTTTTAATTAGGTCATTGATGGTATATATACCAGCATTAAAACCATACTGGATAGAAGACATATCTATTGCCCACTTGAATGTCATTATTGTACCATAAAGGGGTTTTTAAAATTGACTCAGGCTTACTTTGCCTCATAGGAAAGAAATTATTCAATCTAACCCAACTTTTAAAAACATCTTTCCAGAATATATTGCTACAATTGTTACTACATGACTTAACATAATCTTTTCCGCAATGAAACAATTTATTTTACCTCTGCAATAGAATTCAATAGAACTTTCCATTTTCCTGATGACTGAGTGATTCTTCTTATCCATCCTAATTTAAAAGAATCCATAAAAGCTCCTACATCTATCATTTTTAGCCCCCCCCCCCCCCCCCCCCCCCCCCCCCCCCCCCCCCCCCCGACTTTATTATGTTAATTTGTTAATTCTACCAATAGGACATGTTAATAATTGTTGACCGAAAATTCAATACCCAAAAAAGTAAACTTATTATTGCCCCAGAGAAGGTTCAATTCTGGAAGGAAAGAGTCATCACTATATTTTTTGCTTCCTATCCAAATTGCCTGTGTTTTATTTGTGTTAATATGTAAACCTGACATTCTAGCAAAAATAGTTAGTTCAATAATTGATTCCTTGAGTGAGTTCTCTGAGCCACCAAGTATAAGACCAGTGTCATCTGCATATAGATACATTATCAATTTGTATACCATGTATATTGTTATTTGTCCTGATTTTTGCTGCTAAAATTTCAACGCACAAAATAAAAATGTACGGGGAGATAGGTCGCCTTGACGACAACCGCGATGGATGTTAACAGAGGCAGAAATATTACCTCCCTGATTAATTGAGGAGTAATATATTAGTATGAAAATTTTAATCCATTTCCTAATATCCCGCCCAAAATTAAAATAATCAAGAACTTTATCAATAAAATCCCATGAAACTGAATCAAAAGCTTTCTCAAAATCGACCATAAGGAGCATTCCTCGAATATCTAAATCTTCAGCATGCGCCATTACGTCATTAAGAGTACGAATGTTTTCACCAATATAGCGCCCAGATAAGAAACCTGTCTGATCTTCATTTATAAGCTTTCCTAGAACTGATTTTATCCTATGAGAAATTATTCCAGAAGCTATTTTGTAGGAAATATTTAACAAAGAGATAGGTCTCCAGTTTTTTAAGAAATGACGTGGTTTATCTCCCTTTGGAATACAGGTTATTATGCCATGTCTCTGAGTGATAGAAAGCTGACCAACAGAAAAACTATGATTTATTGAACGGACAACAAATACTCCTATAAATTTCCAAAAGGTTTTAAAAAATTCAGGGGTGAAACCATCTGATACAGGACTCTTATTATTGTTCATATCTTTCAAAACTTTACCTGCCTCTTCTATAGTGATCAAACCTTCCACATTCTTAGACTCTGTGTTACTTAATTTTGGTACTCCACAACCCTGAAGATGATAATTTAAATCGACAGCATCAACTTCTCTAAATCTGTATAAATTTTCATAGAATAATCTAACTTCATTTAAAATATCCCCCTGGTTTGTAATCACTTCACCATTACCTTTTTGTAATTTTGGAATTATTTTAGAAGTGAAATTTCGATTTTCCAAATTCAAGAAACAGGAAGTAGGCTTTTCCCCTTCTTCGATCCATTTTGCTCTTGATCTGATTAAACTTCCCTTTATCTTTCTCAATCGTAAAGACTTTAGTTCTTGTTTTCTATTATCTAATTCTTCCTGGTCTGGGTTTAAGCTAGCTTCTAGACTTTCTATCAACTTCTTTAAATATTTCTCTTGGCTGTTCTGTTGTCTGTTTCTATATGAAGCATAAGATATTGATTTGCCCCTAATTTCCATCAATAAAGTTTCCAAAAACAATTGATCATTAATCAGAAACTGAACCTCACTATCGGGAATATCTTTAATAGCACTAATATTATAGGCAGGCAAACAATATTGTGACTTAACATTCTCAATCCATTTTTTGACCACATCTAAATATTCAGGATCACACAACAAAGAATTATTAAGTTTCCATAGACCCCTCCCTCTTTTAAATTCATTTAACTGTAAAGCTGTAACTATAGCTGAATGGTCAGACCTATAACTAGATTCAATAATTGATTTTTTTAGATAACAGATAACAGACAGTCTGAAACAAGGAAAAAGTCCAGTCTGGCCTGTTTTACAGGATTATTTTAGCAAGAGTAATTATCTTCTTAATTGAATTGAGGGACTGGAAGATTTGACCACGATTTTTTCATAATTTCATTATTTTAGTCTTAAATCATATAATAGTGATATATAGTTCTCGGGATTCTGTCTCTATCGGCACCAACAGATATGGAGTGTGTTCCTTCGTTAACCTCATTTTAATATGCATATATGTAAGTACTTATCTATGCAAATAACTAGATTAAGACTACATGTAAAATGCTGTGTTTCTATACACGATATAAATCAGGACTACAGTGAAGACATGAAGATGTTTAAAATAACAACGTGACTAAAGGCCAGTCGTTATTGATTATTAATGATGTCTTAATATTATTCCTTAGGTATTGCTGCAGTTCTACTTGTTTTTCTGGCGAGTCTACACTGTAAGTATTCTCATCATTTTAAAGAAAACGTTATTATTGTTGTAATTCATAAAACAGCGTCTCTTTAATGACACGCAATGTTTTTAATTTTATTTACGTTTTTACGTTCACTTAATCGTGAATCTACTCACGAGGTTAGTACCCGGATACTACTAAGATCATTCATTTAGTTAAATTTTAGTTATGTTTGTATGTTATCCACACTAATGTTTAGCGATGCTTTATCTCAATGTGACTGCCACTTAAGAAAGCCAAAATCAATATTGATTATTGGTCCGATCTTATATCAATGTCGTCCTAGAAGAAAGGAGTGAATTCTTTTTATTATACCGAAAATGTTTTTGCCATATTGATGAATTCATTTTCAAATTATTTCATAGAGAGATATGTACAGTTTAAATTTTTGACCGTTATAGAAACGTGTTTAATTCAAATCTATTTTGAATATTATCTACAAAGTTAATACAAAGTAGGGGATACAAGAAGTTAACATAAATATGTTTGTTTCTTTAATATGTTTTTATTAAAAAAAACGGAAATCTTTAACTGTAATCAAATAAAAGTAAGTTTTATATTTGTCCACTTAAACCTACCCCAGTGCTGTTAATTGACAGACGCTGCCTCTATTCGTTGCCTGAGCTGTACCGATGTCTTACAGCCTCGCTATTGTTCTGGTATTGAACACTGCCCAGAGGGAGACGTAAGAACGAAAAAATAGCTTCATTCTGTGAAACTTTGTGCTATCTTTAATCGTAAAATAAATTCAGCGTTTCATTTTCGAAATAAATCCAAACTTTTATGTAATATATAGAAAAGTCTTATGAAAGTTTAATTATACATATAACTGCTTATTGGAATTTTTTATATTATTATGTGGACGTACGAAGGAGAACAGACCAATATTACAGCGTTCCTAATTTGATGGTAGAAAGCTGGTCACAAAGCATTTTATGTTTTCTCACATTTAAGAGGAACATACATCAGGATTTGTTCTATATACAGGCGTGTGTTACTGAATCTTACAGGAACAGGAATGGAGAGGTCCTGTTTAACGTTGGATGTATGTCTGCAAGGGCAAGTATACAGCTAGTGAGGAAAGATGTGTCTTAGTTTAATCATCATGAAAAAGTAACTTGCTCGATCACGTGGGTTTTCCACGGAAACTCCAGTTTCCTTTCACAGTAAGACCCCTCGAACGCTTCTATATGGGGCCAACTTTAGTGATTATTACAATTGGGAATAACTTTGGAATTGTTGTAAAATATATAGATCAACTTAATTTGAATTGAGATTTCTTTAATCTGTTTCAACCACAACGTGTTTACTGTTCAATGCGTTCAACGCGTTTGTTTAATGTGCTGTTTAACAGACCTAGACCAGGTCATCAAATATTCCCGAGGGAAAAACAGAAATTTACTCGATAGAGTGAGGTAGTTTCAAGAAGAACTCAAAATTTCTTACCGTCCTATGTATACAAATTTTTGAACGTTTGCCTTGACAATAATTATAGCTCTTTCCCTAGGTAGTTAAACGACATCAGATATAATCGGGGCGACGCTGGGCTGCTATAATAAACGACATTGCTGTTTTGTGGGGGCATGCCCCATCTTTTCATATATGGCATTAATCATGTTATTTTATGTTGTAGATATGTTTGTACAACATGGCTGACATCGTTGTTACCATGTCTGCCAGGTTATTTGCAATTTGATCAAATGACTTTACAGGATAAATGTATTTCTGTCTCGTTCTTGACGTACGATACACCCAATACCGTATATACCTCAAGTCGTGATTTGATTATCAGGATAAAGAGTATAAAATATACATCTAATTAATATCCTGTTTTAAATTAATAATCAGGTTTTAAAAAAAAGTTTCGATAGTAAGACAATAGCAAAAAACAATAGGATACTGCGTGAAGCAATTAATTTATGGTGGTGCTATCATTTTGGTCAGTGTCATGCCATAACTATCCGACTTCATATATTGTGTTAGTATTACCTGCATTTTTCCCGAGACAAATTTTGTTACTTTTGCTATTTTACTCCATTTAAATACAACAAAAAATAAATAATTTTCATACTCATGGGATATGCAAGAAAAATGATATTACCTCCCCTCTCTCTCTATATATAGTAAATTAAACCGTAAAGAAATTCTTTTATTAACAGTGAGGAAGTTTCCATTTATTCTAAAATGAACAATTCGTCATCGTTTATACAAAAAAAATCATAAAATACCATCCAAACACCCAAATTAATTTATCATAGTCATAAGAAATTTTACATCTGACATATTAGGACCTTACTGTGTAGGGAGACTTTCCTTAAAGTTTTGTTTTTAGGACAAAAATGACTCCCAGTGTACCTTCTGACCAACGGCATTAAAACGTCACACCGTGACATCATTCTGGGCCAAGATGGACAAATGTACTAAACACGATATCAATTTTAACTAAAGTGGCAAGGACTTTGCAGTGGTGCTTGGCAGAGTCCTATAAAGAAAAAGTGTATTATACCTATTTATGATACGACTGATATTGACAGACGTGCTTTAAATATACCTGATACTTAGTGTGACTGTTAACATCTACTGAGAGAGTTTCCATAGTTTTCCCGTCATATGAAAAATACTGATGGACAAGCTAATTGTATATAAAACATAACATAAATATGTATTGTTGGCGTCGATGAACGTTAAGACGTTAACCCTTCTGATACATGTGGTCCGATACATTTTCAAGGGTCTGAGATAAATCATTATTTTGTTTTTGTTTTCGATAAGACGCTTACCCTTCTGAAACACGTGGTCTGATACATCTCCAATGGTCTTTTGTTACTCAATCATGGTCTCACGCTTTGCTTCATCGAATTTAAATTTGAATAATATTTTGTTTCGTCAGCAAGTATTTCTTGTTCCCGTGTTAAAAGTGTAGACGATGAATTAAATTAATTAAATTATAATAACAACATCTTTATTCTTCAAGAGATGTTCCTTGACTAACCAACAAAACCGCTCCACTGCTATTTTGCGAACAGACATAATCGGGACACATGTTCGTGACGAATGTATCGAGTGTTGTCATGGTGACCTGTGTAACGCCGCCGGTTGTGGTACGGACGGTAAGTCATGTGTTTCGGACGTCAGATTAAAATCTAAAGACAACAATTTCCCCTCTATATAGGTGGTAAATTTGCTACTTTCTGTGGCAGTGGTTCGCTCTTAACTGTGCTTGCAAGTAGCCTATAGTACAACCCTGTTATATATAATATCAGTTAATAACCTGTCTGCCACGTCGCTGTTTTGTATAGTAAAACAGATGAAGGGTCAGATGTAGGTGAGGTGCTATTTCAGACGCTTATGTCATTGTTAACTAGCTTTGTTCCCTATGAGGTGTACAAAACATTTGATGTTAATGTATTTTAGTTTTTAAAATAAAAGGAAGAATTACATTTACTATTTGTAGGGTTCCCTAAAGAAAGAGGACCAATATGTTTAAATTGTCCACAATCACGTGATCCTGACAATTGTGACGTCATATCCGTATGTCTTCAAGGAGAGGTATAGAACTAATGTCTTACTAATATATATCCAAGTTTAAATGTGCTGTGATAATCATTTTATTTTATTCGACGTGTTAAAGTTAAAGTTAAATCAATAGGAAAAGTGTGTATATTATCTGCATTATTTTGAAAATTTCGACAACTCTTTCATCAAAGGTTTGTCATGTTGAGGAAATCTCTAAGTTTGGCGACTTATTCTACAAAACCAGCTGTGTAAGAGAAACTGTGAGTATAACTTCATGACCAATGTTTTTTTTCATATGACGAACTATTTAAATATATAATATATATATACAAATTTTCAAGCTTTCATTTGTTGTCATTCTAGAAACACAGTGAAGCTTAATTATTTTACATACCGTTTTGGTATTTAATAAACGCGCGATTTTTGTCAGAATCCGTAACAGTTCCTTCACGGCCCTTACCATGGAAATCAACCAAGATGTCATATTAAATTTTAAAGAAACCGATCTTCACCAGTTCTCACTTTGTGTATTTAAACTGGCACCATCATCATGATGTTCTGGAAATACGATCCTGGACACGCAAAGAGATTATAGGTTTTCATAGGATAAAATAAGACAAAAATTTTGGTATTTTCTATTATAACGTTTGTTTGAAAGAATTCTCAGTCAAAAAGTCTTGAACAATCATCTATATCCATTAATACTATGAAGAGATATATCCTTTTCAGCAAAATCATCAATGATGTCCCGAAATAACTGAACAGTTATAGGATCGTAAATGAATTTTCAATTCTTATGATGTTTTATGAATGTGTCGTCGAAAATTCTATGCTTGTGAGCAACAAATCAATCTTCTAAACGAATTTCAAAGGTTTTATAGTCGAACTGTAAGGATGAAATCAGACGGAGGCGGCCATTATGTTGACAATTTCAGTTCATGAAGTATTGTCTATATTTTGACACAACAAGGTCCCTGGTACATTACACTAGTAATATATATTCAAAATCACAAAATTGGCAAATTCACTGGATGACAGACCGATTATGTGATGAAGTTGTTGAATATGTTGATATTGTCCGTGGTGTAAAATTCGGGACCGTACACTTTAACATAATTTAATCAACAAATTTATCAACTGAATGAATTAATGAATAAATGAATTTAATTAGATAATTGATTGCTTCAGGATTACCAGTGCACCTCTTCTCCCATGTATAATCCAGTGGAGATTGGCAGGCGGTCTACTGGAAACTGTTTTTTCTGCTGCCCAGATGATCTCTGCAACATACAATGTAAATTTAATATCTATCGATTAACAGCATTACATGCTTATGATGTAAATTGCAAACACAATTTCCATCATGTTAAATGATATTAGAACATCGAAAGTTATACCATTTTTTCCATTGAAATCTGATGTTGAGATGTTATTGATTGAATCAACCAGAAAACTGCCATTTTGTGTCATGATGCACAGGTACATTTGTCTATATTTGTTTAAGTAGAATTTCAAGTAAACAAACATATATTTTGCACTTAGCTTTTCAGTTTTTGTAGCATATCTATCATTGATAGGAAAAAACTCATATATCAAATGGTGACATCAATGCAAATTTACTTTCTACATTTCAAGCAGATAGCTGAATGTTGTATTAAATTTAAATATTCATCACAACATCAATCATGAATCGGACCACGATATAAAGGTGGCCGACTCAACTTCAGATGACGATCCAAGGTTCGTGTTCTGTCGCTCCTTACTCCTGGCGGTTTGGTGAGAGACAGATCTGTATGTGCCATTATATTTTGTCTTTGGGAAGGACACTTTTCCCTCATTGCTCTGGATTGGAAGCCTCACCTCCCATAGGTTATACTTTGAGATAGTCACCACCTAGTACACGGCATTTCTGCCTCAAAGTTATCGCGTGTTTTTTATTCAATAAAAACAGCCAATAAACAAAAAAATCATTATTTTTATTTTTTTTCATTCTTCAGGTCGCAATACCACATTATCTTCGCAATTTACAACACCTTCGACTACAATCATCCCGATTACCAATAGTAAGAACGAATTTTGTATCCATTTGTTCCAGTAATTGTTATCATTTGTGTTTAAAAGGAGGATTTCATTTTTTTTATATTTCGTCGTCATAAATACACAAACACACCTTCTTGTTGCATCTGGAGAGCTTTTCCAGTGTGTCATACTTCATATTTCGGCTTAAAGTATTTGACGACATCAACATTTTCTAAGGGTCAAGCGTGTTTATAATGACGAGGCGTTATCATGTCCAATTTAGGTCTAGGATTAAGTTTTGAGATAAAGTTTCCTTTCTTATTTATCATAAAGTGTCTATTTACCTGGCGTAGCTGCTCAATTCCGCCTATAGATATATTGTAGTTGTTATATCGTTACGTATATGAAATCAGGATTTCTCTTCGCCTTGTTCATCATATAGACCACCAGCCTTGGGAATTACGCACGCGACGTTTTTTTCATCGATCACTTGTCTCGATCTTTACATGCAACGTCACCACCGGATACAGTGTAATTGTTTCGATATCGCTGTCGTAAATTTTCTTTTTTTTTTAAAACTAATATCCTGCTTCCCCAAAAAACAACATGAAAATACCAACACGTGATAATCTCAAGTTAAATTTAATAAACCTCGGGGATCATGTGGGTAAATGAAAGTTTACAAGGAGACACCTGGAAAAATATAGAAATAAGACTACGAGGGCAAGTAAGTAAGGTCACGTTCTCAAACGAGAACAAGATCTACAACCACAAAACCAACAGGCAAACTTACGAACTTTAAACACGTCCAGCTTCATGGCATGCAAAAATATCTCTCAACGAGATCACTATATGGCGACCTGAATACTTCCCCATAATTTTAATCCACCTGCATCTCAAGAAACCCTGTGTTTCGAATTTGTCTGTCAGTTGATGACTTCTTGCACGAAAATGGTGATATTGGGAAGATTCCCTTGGTTGCTAATCAACGGCGATATACAAAGTTTTGGATGCAGGACTGTTGCTATCCAGAAATTGAAAATTCACGACATGGAAATTAAAATCATCACGGTATCATACAGCTAGGTTGAAAGCTGTCCATGTTAGTTTCGTTGTAGGAAAAGATCGAGATAATCAGCTGAAGATTATGTCGGGTCTTTAATTTCCAATCCTGGTCGGTATAGGCTATGGACGTGGTCAACATGTCTCTTGTTATTTAACGACGTTTTCAAAATATCTGAAAGTGAGATAAAATGAGTTTGCTGGTTGACTTGTTTTTGAAAGCTCTTCGATAAATTTAGGCTCGTATGAAAGCAAAAACAAACCAACAAAAACAAAACAAAAAACAAAACAAAAAAAAAAAAAAAAGAAAAAAAGAAAAAAAACCCACAAAAAACAGTTCCCATAGGTATGCCAATGATCTGATGGAAGATCTTACCATCATAAAGAAAACGAAGGCGTTCTTTTGGTTAAGAATGGATTTGAAGATACTAAGAATGATAGCAAGAAGTTTGGACAAAGGTCTGGTTGCACAGCTACACAAGCTAACAAAAAAACGGTGTTGATATGGAATCTAGCAAAGTTTTGAAATCTAATATAAACAGGGGAGGTCCGTATCCTGATCTTCAATAGGCAATTTAAATGATTGTTATACTGAATACTGCGGCATGTTTAGCCAGTATTTCTTCTTTGGGAAGCTTGCATAATCTGTAATATATATTTGATTTTGTAGAGAGGGGTTCCTTTGTTATCATGCTAGTTGAATTCAGAAAATGTAAAAATATATGCAGACAAGTAATTTGACACTGTACCTGCAGAAAGAATAGCATGCCGTGGATTCAACATCGGGATCAAAGAAAGGTTTATATATTTCAAAGTTGATTCGGTGTACAAAAGCTTTTTCAGAGAATAAGATTTCTTAACATATCGACATGTTCTTTTTCATTTACAGAAAACATTACCTTATCACCAACAGCTGTACAGTGTACAACACCAGAGCCAACACATCACAGTAAGTCTTTTGTTTATGTTTACTTTTCTTTAAACATTAATGTGCTATAACTAAGTAAACATTGAGATAACATGCGGTTTATCTTACATGTAAACTCCTCCTTCATGACAAGATATATATATATATATTTCTTTTTTTTTCAATTTTTAACAATTACAGAGAAATTAATTGCATAACATAAAATTGTGTGACGTGACGTACATGTATATTAATATATAACGTTATTATATTTATTGATGAAATAAAAATTAATTGGATATCTTTTTTTTTTTTACATATTTTAGGTGGACAGAACAATTAAAAAAGGCATTTCTTCGTGGCAATGATACAAACCATAACTTGGAAAAGAAATCAAAGTCTGTTGAATTTGCCCTAAAATGTACACAATTTTTATTTTCTTTTTCAAAATGTATATTGTAACATGGCAATAATGTAGATTTTTATGTTTTGACAGGTTTCAAAGGAAAGGAATTCTTTTTAATGTTCCTGCAAAATTATAAATTTCAATCAACCCTCAGTGTTACTGTAACATGCAGTGCTCAAAACGCTGTAATTCAAATAGCGACAAGTGACAATTCGACTTCCATAGATATCTCAGGTTCAGCGAAACAGATTGACTTAGATTCCAACCTGCTGCTGGTGGAAAACGGCAAGTCAAGTAGAGGGGTCATTGTGACCTCTAATTCAACAATGTCTGCTACAGCATTCAATTCATACTCTTGTTGTTCAGCGGAGGGTTACGCAGCCCTGTCGATAGAGAATCTTGATAACGTCTATATTGTAGGGACACCTAATCCAAATACTGGCTCGTATTCACAATATGGATCTCAGTTCGCTGTAGGAGCTCCATATGATAACACCATAGTTAATATTACGCTGAGTACGCCTGGTGTGTTTGTACAAGGCCAGTATTACAGAAAGGACGACACTATTACCGTTGTTCTGAACAAATTAGACACGTTCTATATAGAGAACACCTCCGATGACCAGGAATTAACCGGTACACGTATTGTTAGTAATAAACCAGTAGCAGTTGTATCTGGTAATATCTGTTTAGAATACAATGGATGCAACCATGTCGTAGAATATCTACCTCCGGTATCAAAATGGGGATCAAAGTTCATAGTACCACCTTTCAAAGGCAGTAACAGTGGATACATAAGGATCATTGCTTCGTACAATAATACAAGTGTCATTGTATTGTCTGGCACTTTAAACCACACATACAAGATCTCAGATTTTATAGATATTGATATCAATCCCTCACAACCGTCCGCCATCTCTAGTGATAAACCTGTACTTGTCCTATTGATATTTCATCAAGTCGACATCGCCATGTCAGTGATTCCATCCTTAAACCAGTTCTCTGGTGAACCTGTGTTGATTTCTCCTCCTACAGATCTTAATAGCAAGTTGAACAATACCTTTGTCGTCAGTGTCCGCTCATGTGACCAATTTGGTCTACAGATCCGCTGTGGGAACTCGACGAACTTGTCTCCTTCTGAATCTGTGAATTACACGGATGTTGACGGTGAGGTGTTCAGTTTTTTTACATTCAACTATAACAACAACCAGACATGCTCTGTTCAGCATACCAACAGCAACGTGTTTAGTGTTACGATATACGGACAGGGAAATTATGAAGCTTACGCATATCCTGTAAACCTTATGTTGTAGTAAATCATCACATGTAATAAAACAAGATTTTCTTGTCGAAGATTTTTTAATAATATAATATTTCCTACAAATTGAAGGGAGATGGGAGGACATCAGAATGTCCGTATGTCTATTCGTCTACTTTGAAATGCCTTACCAGAAGCACACTATGATGGTTGAAGGCACATGCTTTAACAACTTTTCAATGCTTCACTGATTAAGCGTTGACTCGATTTAATGATAGTCGAGTTATATCTTTGGAATCCTGTCTAAATTTCTATCGGTAAACATATTATGAACGCCTTGCATGAATAATTTGTTTTTCAACTTAAATGTTTGAATACCGAAAAAGTAACAGGTATATTCAATTTTTAAAAGTATAAGTATTTAAAGATAATTTTATCCATCATATGAATATAAGGTAAGCTGAATTATAAAGAAGCAGGTGTTGGTCATTTGTCTTTTGCACAATCCTTTATGCGGTCTTCTTAAGTATCAATAAGACGACCAGTAAACAAAGGGTAAGGTCTCCAGGTACAGATCAGGATCACATTTTATGTCGAATAATTCAGAGAAAATAGAACATCGTTAAAAATCAACCTTACAAGCAACGATGTTACTTTGCATCTGTCCTAACGTGAATAATATTGTGGTTTATATTCTTTGCAATTCGTCTTCCCACTTTGTTGCCAATGCGCCAAAGAGAAAAGATGAAACGACGCCAAACCGGGGTAAAAAGGCGCCATTTTAAAATGTACGTTTTTGCGTCTTTTCATTATTTCGCTTCGGCGGGTTTCGTTTTTTCGTCGTTTCGCTTTGAT